CAACATCCCTGTGCAGCTAAACGCAGGCTCTGACTTCGGAGCATCCTTTTCCCGGGAGATTTTTCGCAGCCGGGAGGGATGCTCGGGCTCACAGCAGCTGGCCAGGACCACGGTGGGGCAGAAGTTTTGGGTTTCTTCCACATGGATTTGGTTCCTCTTGGGTTCGTGCTCACAGCTGCTGTGCGGGTAAGGAGGAGCTGGCAGCCTGTCCCGGCCTCTCACGTTGCAGGAGCAGGTCGAATTCCTTTTATTTGGCAAATAAACGCCTCCGTCCAGGCTCGATCCTTCCTGACCCACCGGGCAGGGTGTCGCAAAAGCAAGATTTAATCCCAGTTCTGCAACCAAGTTCCTCCTTGTGCTTGTGCAGGTGCCCACAGCAAAACCCTCTATTTTTTTTTTTTCCCCTTTTGCTCCGATTGCATCCACCCCTCCGGCTGGGGGCTGTGGTAGAAGCTTTCCCTCTCTTTGGCTCTAAATCCCTGGTTTTTTGGGGCTGGGGTTTGCACTGTGCGGGCGGCTGGGGCCGGCTCTGCTCCATTGTGTGGCACGGCCGGGCTCTCCCTGTGACAAAAGGGCCTCTCATCTCCGCCAGCCCTCGAAGATGCTGCTGGAATATAAATACTAACCCCCATCCTGGCTCGCTTTTGCCGAGTCAGTGTTTCCCCAAGCCAGATGGCTCCTCCTAAACTTCTCATATTTTACATACAAATAAAAAAAAATAGGAAAAGAAAAGGGCCGATTACAATCCGTGGTTGTAAAGACTTGCTTGTTTTGCTAAACCAGCTGTTTAGATTATTTCTTTGTTTTGGGTTCCCCCCCCGGCTTCGTGTGGGCTGTTTCTAGGCAAATTCCTTAAACAGAAAAAAAGCCCAGAGAAGCCACAAAGCACTGGGAAAGGTCAGGAGCAGACAAAGGCGGAGGGACATGGCCGAACACCGCTGCTCTTCTGGAATACTTAATACCTCCGCACTCCCCCAAACCCTCCCCGCAGCGACGTGGGGTCCACGGGCAGGATGGGACCCGCAGCCTGGGAGCGGAGGCTGGAGGCTGAGCGCCGTTTCGGAGGTAACCGTGTCCCCCAAGCTGCAACATCTGCTTCCAGGCAGATAGTTGGTTTTTTTTATTTATTTCCTCTTCAATCCCCTTCTCGGGGGCGGTTTTGGATCCGGAAGGGCTCCCACGGCCGTGGTTGGGAACCGGTTGCTGCCAGCGCACGGCCCTGTTGCACCGTCCCGAAGGCAGAACAGCGAAGTGCGATGCCTGCATGGCTCTGGCACTGAATATCGCGGGGTTTGGGGCGTTTTAAGGCAGAAATAACCACTTTAGCCTGCGTGATGCAGCCTGCAAGGCTCCCTCCAGGAGTCCTGCATGGAGCTGGAGCCGATTGTAAGAGCATTTCCAGCCCAGGTGCATGGGATGGGGCATCCTTTGGGATCCTGGTCCTGGCACTGGGGATGGGGCATCCTTTGGGATCCTGGTCCTGGCACTGGGGATGGGGCATCCTCTGGGATTCTGGTCCTGGGTTGCAACCTGGGTGCCAGAAACAGGGTGTCCTTTGGGAACCCAGTCCCAGAGCCTGAACCAGGGGTTTGAGATGGAGCATCCTTCGGGATCCCGCTCCCGGGGGGCTACAAACTGGGTGCCCGAAGTAGGGCACCCTTTGGGGGATCCCCAGTCCTGGCACCCGGTAAGGGCTATCCCTTGGGATCCCGGTGCCGGGGTGACCCTGGGTGCCGGAGAGGGGTGTCCCCCGGGATTTCAAAACCCGTACCCCGCAGCGTACC